CCCATTCCCTGTCCCCCTGTGCCCCTGGGGGAGTAGGTGGAAATTGAGAGAGAAGTTTAACCCGGGAAGCAGGGAGGGGTGAGGAGAGACTTTTTAAGATCTGGTTTTATTTCTCATTATCCTCTTGTCTGATTGGTAATAAATTAAATTTATTTTTTTCCCCCAAGTCAAGTCTGTTTTGCCCGTGCCAGTCATTGGTAAGTGATCTCTCTCCGTCCTTATCTCGACCCATGACCCTTTAGTTATATTTTTCTCCCCCCTGCCCAGTTGAGGAGGGGGAGTGATAGAGTGGGCTTTGGTGGGCATCTGGCATCCATCCAGGGTCAACCCACCACACAACTGCAGACGGTTCACTGCTGAATTATCCAGAATAAATCAATAAAACATCACTGCCTTTCTCTGCTTTAAAGGCAAAATATCTTGCTTGTTAAATTGTGTGAGCTAAGATATTTCTACCCTAGTGCTCTGACCCCTTTGCAATGCAGCTCCTGTGCTTGCACTGGTAGCAAAGTCCTCCGACTTCCCCCATGACCCAGGACTTCTCCAGCCCCTCCTCTTCCATCTCTTTCCTCTCTTCCCTGATTTGGAAACTGCACAAGTTGCCACGTCCTTGTGTAATTCATTACTCTTCTCCAGTGTGCCACAGAATTAAAGACATGCAGATTTGCTGCATAAATTGGCTCCAAGGGCTTCCTACGTAGTTAAATGCAGCCGTTACGACGCTGTGTGCAACACAAGCCAGGGACTGTGTTGTCCCAGTGGAGAATGATGGATGGTGGTTCTTGCCAGATCTTTACATCAGAGGTGGAGAAAGGAAATTCTTTCTCTCTTACACACACATGCATATGAATGCCAACTCTTTCAAGCTCCTTTTCTGTTTGGGGTTAAGACTATGTTTTGGTTAAATTTTATTTTGCTGGAAATGTGTTTTCAGGTGAAAGTAATAAACATGAAGTAAATGTGTTCCTTTAAAAAGCAAAGCCATTTTCATCTGAGCATATTCTGGCTTTAGGTTGGTGCAAACTAGATGGTCATGAAGATACTCAAGTTCTCCGCATTAAAAAAAATAAAATAAAATCTGCATTTTCTGAGCAACTGCAGGAGGAGTGTTCACAGCAGGCAGTGTCACTGCCTTATGGCATTAGCTATCTGGGCAAGAGGACAGATCTCAAAGGAGAATGTTATATAGGTTGTGCCGCAACATATAACTCTGAAAGTTGTTAACAAAATCAACTCTGAAATAAAACTAGACAAGCACTTTTTCCTGGTGCATTTCTGGTGTGCACATGTGGCACGCTGCAAGGGTGTTCCTCTTAAATTGGATTATCCTGAGGGTGTCTTGCTGTTCCAGGTCAATGCAGTCACCATCGATGGGATCACTCCTCTGTTTAATGCCTGCTGCAGTGGCAGCGTGGCCTGTGTCAACATGCTGCTCGAATTCGGAGCCAAGCCGCAGCTCAGGAACCACCTTGCTTCGCCCATTCATGAAGCTGTCAAGAGAGGTAACATTCAGGCTGTGAGTGAAGCTAACAGTAACAAAGTGAGAAATCCATATTTAGTGATGCTAAAATATTTCTCAAAAAAACCCCTTGTCCGTACTGATACAGATAAATACGCTTGGCTTATCCCAGCTCTTGTGCCTCATTGGTTATATCTGGGTGTATTCTGCTCTGCAGTACTTTAGTGACAGCTCTTCTTCTCTCCATAGGTCACAGGGAGTGCATGGAGATCCTCCTGGCCCATGAGGTTGACATTGACCAAGAAGACCTGCAGCATGGGACCCCACTTTATGTGGCTTGCACATACCAGAGGACAGACTGTGTCAAGAAGCTTTTGGAGCTAGGTACACCTGGAAGAAGGGATGGGGGAGAGCTGTGGTGCTGTGAGCCAGCACTACTGGTCTCTCCAGGCTCTCCGTCCACTGAAACCTCATGGGTTATTTCCACAAGAGGTGTTTGGACAGTCCAAATCTGCGATTTGAGGCTATTAAAATTTTTAATTTGAGGCTATTAAAATTTTCACCCTCATTAAAGAAGAATTTATGATATCCCCAGTAAAAAAAGCCCTAATTACAGACACCTCCCTGAGACTGTCTGAATGTGAAAATAAAATACTTTTAGTTTTCTGGGATGATAACAGGAAGCACAGATGATGGTGGCTAATACTGGTGACCAAAATCAACTCTTGATTATGATAAACTTCCATGATAATCATTAACTTCACCCACTTCTCAGTGGATGATGAAGACAGCAGTAAAGCCACTTGAAAGAATAATCACTGCAGGTCCAGGCACAGCCCATGAGCTAGCATAATTTTTACTGTCAGTGTACATTAGCTGATTTACACCTGCTAGAAGAGCAGCCCTGCCATGCCTGGCAAGCCCAGGGCAAGCATTTCCTCGCTGTGCTCCCGGAGTTATTACGATGGGATACCTAAAGGGTCTTTTTCCCCCTAGTAATGATATTAACTTAATATATGTCAGATTTTATGTTACTGATAAATTTACAGAGCTTGGGTGGGTTTTGAACATCTATTGGGTTGAAGGTCAAGCTGCTCAGTTCTGTTCCTTGCAGACAGAGTTTGGTGACTCAGAGGACATTTATACAGCAGATATCTAACCTGCTGAGTTTTGCACTGCTGCTATGGAGAGAAAGGAGGGAGGGAGGCCTGTGTGTGCCATCCATCCTCTTCATCTATTGAATCTATTGATGGAAACCAGCCTGTGTGTTGCAGGTTCAGACAGTTCCTGCTGCCTCACAGATCTAACAGCGCACTCTTGTTTACTCAAGGGGCCAATGTTAATGTGGGGAAGCGATTAGACACCCCCCTCCATGCGGCAGCAAGGAAATCCAACGTGGAGATAGTTGTCTTGCTGACAGACTATGGTGCTAACCCAAAATGCAGAAATGCTGAACTCAAGTGTGCCCTGGATCTTGCAGTACCCAACAGCAAAGTAGAACAGGTGCTTCTGCTACTGGAAGGTAATGGTTTCCTTTCTTCTTATTTTTTTTTTTAAGTAGAACAGTATTTATTTCCTTTACCTAACTGCATTTTCTTAACTGTTTTTATAAGTAATGCTCTATGTAAGTTCTCACCCTGACTTTCCTGCTGTGGTTACTTAGATGGCTCCCTTTAATTGCTTCTCTTCCTTACTATTAAGTGGTGTGAAATATAAAATATTTCCATTTCCTAACTGCTTTGGGAGATGGTAGATTCTTTACTTCCAGTGACAGTAGTACAAGTACTCTTTTCTATAGATCCCATATTTTTCTATTAATTTCTTCTCAGAGGGGGCATTATCAGCCTGTTTAGACTCCTAAATTTTCCTGTAGTAAAAGCACAGATTATGAAGTTTACCTGGAAGATATAAGGACAGGCTTTTAAGCACACATCTCTACTCATTGGTTGCCAAACACTGCTGTGACTGCTACTGTTTGGCCAGAAACCAGAGGGGCAGGGCTGATCCAGGGATGGGAAACTGAGCACCTCTGAGCAGGTGTAAATGTTCAACTAGGAGCAGCTCCAGCAAGAGGAGAGCGAAGGGGAGGCAGGGACACATTTCACTAGCAAGTTGCATTTACACAAGCAAGCACATAATTACAGAAGCAACAGAGCCCCATTTCCAATGGGTTTGTGCCTGGTGTGCCCCTCACCTGGCCTGTGGTGGGGTGGACTGGGGCCACCTGCTGATGTGCAGTGCCATGCAAGCCACTGCCCAAGCCAGCCTCATCATCACCCCGATGAGTCTTCTGACAGCTTTCCTACCAGTGGGCTCTCTAATACGGAACAAGAGTTTATCCCATATGACAATCTTGCTTTCTCTCCATTGCAGCCACCTTTATGGTATTTTAAGTACTTGTTCAAGAAAAGATGCAGAAAATCCTAGCCATGCATGCAGAAAAAGGTTTATAGTGCTCATAGTTTTCAAATTGCTGAACCAGTTTTGACAATGTAAGTTAAATATGAACAATAATGTATTTAGCTCTTCCTGGCTTCAGCAATTCATTGCATAGTGTTTGATCTGGTTTGTAAATCTTGCTGGTGTTCGTTGCTTTCTGACTTATACTGGTGGTGGGGTTGGGGGTCCTTCTTCTTGCCTTTTTTTTTTCCCCAGGTCCTGCCAGCCTTGCCCAGCTGTGCCGGTTGTGTATCAGAAAGCGTCTGGGCCGGTCGTGCCTATATACAGTCCACAAGCTGCACCTGCCTGAGCCACTTGAGAACTTTCTCCTTTATCGATAAGTCTGTGACTATCTTTAAAGAAAGAGGAACAAATGGTTGTTTGCTCCAAAATTATTGTATCAAAGAAAAAATCAAAGACATCATTTACTGTTTACTGTGGATAGCAAACATTAGCTTCTATGTGATGGTACAAATTGAAAACACCTTTTCATAGACAGTGAATGATACGGATATAGTTTCCTCACGGTTTATTGCCACATCCACTTACACCGTCCTGAACAGCTCACTTGACATGTTTGTAGATGCACATGCACACATCCACCCACCCACAGACACACACACAGATTTCCTCTGCATTTAGTGTTATATTTATTCCTGTAGTATCTGTGCAGCGTCTTCCTCTTGTCTATCCAATCTCACTGTCAAAATCAAGGTAGTGGCTGTTATTCTTCCACTAGTGTGAGAATGAAAGAGCCCAGCATCAGCCGCATATAATATATTACACATCTTTTGTCAGCTTTGACTTTGCATCCTGCTGCCTCTTTTCCATGGTCTAGTGGAGACTTAGCAACTTCCAGCAGGCTCTGGCTGTCCAGCCACTGTACGTCTCCTTGCCCCAAGCCTAGCTGCCCCCAAGGCTAATGCATCTTGTCCTCTGAGGTGCTAATGCTGTTAACAAAGCAGATGTGTGGGTCTGGAGTAAAGCTCACAAAAATATGTGAAATTCTTAAAAAAATCTTCAACTCTTCCAAAAGAAGTCCTAAGATATATCGCCTGAGATCTGACTGTGTTCATTACATGAGCTGTCTTTCTTAGCTGAATTCCAGTCCAAATCTGCAAATGTTTTCACGGGCACAGTAGGTCAGCTTTCAATGTCTGTCCTTTGAGAGATTTAAAGACAACCAAAGGAATGAGCTGCTCCTCTCCTTTTGGGCTTTGCACTCTTTGATGTTTCTCAAGGTGAGCCCTCGAACTGCAGAGCTACAGAGAAGCAGGGTCCCTAAGGATGGCTGTGCATCACTTAAATGTTCTGCTTGATGGATATTGCTCACCAGGAGGTGAAGTTTGCAGGCTTGTCTGCTCCCTCAGCCCCTTCTCCAGAGGCTTTTATCACCTTCCTGTCAGAGGGATTTTAGAGTGTAATGACTTTGCTCATTGTGGTATTAGTATAAATATCATCAGGGTTAGTAGCTTGGACACAGCACAGCTAAAAATGTGCATCTCTCTGAGTTGAGAAACGTGTCTGCATGGCTCTATAAAGGTTTGGGTTTTTTTCCCATGGAGGTTGTTCTGAGTGGAGAAATGTTTCTTCAGACCCAAATTTTTATAAACTTCTGCTATGGGACAGGCGATAGCGTTTCCCTGGTTGTAGTAAAACAGAAAATAGAGATAAAAGGAGAGTCTGTCTCCACATAGCTCAACTTCACAGGTCCAAGAGGCCATTGACACATTTTCAGGCTATGAGACGTAGCAGCTTTATTATGAGTTATGCATGCTGGTACCAATTTTCACTGCTCATACATCTTAAGTCAAGAGGGAGCTGTCTGCTGGAAGCTTCCAGCAACCTTGAGCTCCTGTCCCTGCTCCAGCAGCAGCAGCCTCTCTGGTTCAGTGCTAATCCCTTAATTTCATCATGACAGTTTCCCTTTCTGAGACATAGGTCTAACATTTCCGGTACTTTCTTACAATTAATTCAGCACAAATAGGAGAAATTGTGCTCCTAGCAGTTCAGAGACTGGACCTGCAATGTTACAGCCAAAAATGAATGTAGTTTTCAGCCTGTGTTTGCACATATTGAATGCTATCTGACGGCAAGAACCATTGCCCATAAAAATGTCAGTGACATGAATGACCTTGTATAGTACAGTATATCATGAATCTCAGAGATTTGAACTCTAAATTCTCAAGAGCTTCTGAAAATCAAATACTATCAAGAAAGAAATGTCTATATTAATCTCATGTCAGCAGATCTTTCTCAGTCTTCTCTTTACTGCCAGCTCACCTGCTCTGTTTATAAGGTGGCAGCTAGAATACCATCCGCTATCTAAATAGAGAGACAGAGCCTCAGCTGTGTGGGTTGTCAGATTCGCATTGCAATCAAGGGGCTATAACAATTTATGGGATCTATTTTGGCATGTGTAATGCTGAATTGATTTCCTACTGCAATCATCAATGAAAGCAGTATTTCACTTGCATAGGATTTTAAATTGAAAAAATGTATCTTCATTAAGGAAATGCAAGTCTTTCAGCCTCTCAGAAAGGTTTATATTAAGAAGCAACAGAAGCTGCCCTATATTTATTGCTGGTATTAGCTTCCCAGCAAAAAAATCACCTCACCTTTGCTTCCTCCTGGAGACATCATTCTTCCTGAAATTCTGTGTATCAGTGAGTCTGGAGGGAACAGAGCCTTAATAAATCAGAAGAGAAGCTCAGAAGTCCTGACGTTAAGAAATTCCATTAGAAACTTTACCTAGACTTTCTTGCTCGTATTTCAAAAGATTAAGTTACCCATTTAATTTTCATTGACTATGCTTTGTGTTGTAACGATGTACAGAAATATTACTGAGGAAATAGCTGGAGGAAGTATTTAATTTTTTTGCAAATAAGATGTCTCATATGGGGATAGAAAAGGACTAAGACAATTTACTAGGAGACTACTGAATCTTCATGATTTTTCTTCTGTCAGATTTGAATACAGCAGCTTTTCCCCAGGTAGGAGAAGGGCTGACTAATCTCATAAGGTCTCTTTCCTTCAGAATAGGTGGCATCTTCTCTATCATTCTGTGATCATTTACAGAAACCAGTTATTTGAGTAAAATATGGTTTTCCTGGGAACACAGACATTTTTCTGTGCTGCAATGTCCATTGCTATACCACAGCATGACTTTACCCCCAACAACTGCCATTTCTATTTGCTTCACTGAAAAGTGCTGCCTATCTCAATGGGAATAATTACACAATATCTTGGCTATTGGAAAAGATCTTCTGAACCATAAACACTTAGTGATTCTGAGTACAGACACTGATTTGCAACATAAAGTGGGAACTTGGGCTACGGATGCTTGCCAGCCATAAAGTCCTTGATACAGGGTATATTTTGCAGGAGTGGCTTAAAAAGGTTACTGATGTACAATATAAAATCAAAAGACTTCATTTTATCATTCTCAATCTGTTGGGCCACTTTTCAATTTTCTTATCCATCTGTTTTGAGAGATCCAGTGTGGACTCAGAAATGCCAGTGATGAGGAACTCACAGATCTCAGCCTAATCAGATGTTGACTTCAAGCCTTCATTAATTACTCAGTATATCACTATCATTGCTCATGACCCAAAGCAAAACAAAATTATATGGGCTTTGTATCAGCCCCGTCTTCATCTTTACTCTAAAATAAGCAGTCTTCATATCTATATTCTTTCTACCAATAGGTGCATTCCTATGTCTCAAAACATCTTTGCAATTCTTTTTTTTTTCCTTCACTGTATCTTTTCTCACACCACTCGGCTTCTGTTCATAAACATGTCTTTCCTGTTCATCTTTCTCCTGGATTCAGATATTTCTCCTCTGTCACTAAGAAAATAGTTTGTAGTATCCTCCTTGAGGAGTGTAACTCTACAACAACCTGTCTCCCGAGGGTCTGTGTTATTTCTCCTGCTCACCAGGCTGCTGTGTTGGGGTCCCCTACTCTGAACCTATACATCTCAGCCCTCCCTAACCCCAGGGCAGGGCAGTGGTGTTCAGAGAGCTGTCACCCCCATGGCATGTGTTCTGCTCACAGGCTCCTCAGCTGGTGCATCCTTGTGGGAACAGGACTGTACTGGCCACCGTGCTCATGCAGAGCTGGCGTAAATGATTTTGCTGTACCTGGTCCCTGATTTTGCTGTCTGGGCTAACTCCAAGCACAGCACCAGTACTTGCTGTCTGTCTGGCTGCACATAGCCAAATTTCTCTGTGTCTGATCACAGCAGAAGGTGCTGCTGTTGTTCACAGTTTGCACTAATTTGTCAAGACAGTTGTGGCAATGATCTTCTTGCTCTGCTCTTGTTGCTATCTCAGCACCCTGGCCCAAAACCTGGCTCCACAGGCTTCCCTGTGGCTTGAGAGCACTTTTTCCCAGACTCTAATCTGCAAGCAGTCTGGCTGATGGTCCACCTCCTCAGGGGTATACAACAGTGAAAATAAAGACCAACACATTTTGAAAACGTATAATGAACAACGTTCCTCACAGTCAGTAGGAAAAGCTACATTCTAATTTGTTCCCTAAAAGATCCCTGTTTTGATCTGCTGACCAACCTGTTGGGCTTGAGCTGACCTGTCTCCTGCAACACAACTCTGTTGTTGGCATTAACAACCCTCCATCCTCCCTAGGACTCAACTTTTCATAGCAGATGTGCCAGTCCTTGATTTTCTGTCTGTCCATCTGAATCTCCCATTCACAGAGTGAAATTAAAAAGGAGAGGGAATGCTAAGCTGCTGAAAGTTGTGGTCACATTGTAGGAGCTGAAATTCCCCACATCTGCCTTGAAGTGCCAACATCCCACCTTCCTGGGTAGATGTGGGCTCAAAGGGAAGCTGTCCATCTGTCTGTCCACCTATGTGTTCCCTGTTCTTGTGACAGACATGCCTATGCCACTTTGGACAGCAGGACCAGGGGCTCATCTCCTCCTGAATCTATCTTCCCCCAGGGAGCTTGAACCTGGGCAGCATCCACCTCATGGCATTTACACTTCTTCTCACCACCCATGCTAGAAATTTGTGTGCTGCCCCTGTGCAAACCCTTGCGAAGGGGGTCAGTGTCCCCTCAGTCCCACTCTCTGTCCTCCACTTGCTGTCTATTCGGGGCAGGAGGTACAGGGGCTGCCCAGCACCTTTCTGTCCCAAACCTGACCTCTGTCTCCTGCAACACAACTCTGCTATTGGCATTTAACAACCCTCCAGTGCTTATTGGATTGAAAATACTGGTAGTGTGTCCCAGCCAGGGCAAGTCTGATACCAATGAAAATGAAACACAGTCACTGACTCAGTTGAAAAATCTGTCTGACCTATATGCTGGGCTGACAGT